CCTGTCCCCAGGTGTGTCCCCAGGTGTGTCCCCAAACCCCTCCAGGTGTCCTCAGGTAACCCCCAGGTGTCCCCAGGTGTGTCCAGGTGTGTCTCAGGTGTCCCCAGGTGTGTTTTTATCCCCCCAGGTGTATCTCAGGTGTGCCCAGGTGTGGCTGTGACCCCCCCAGGTGTCCCCAGGTGTGTCCAGGTGTCCCCAGGTGTGCCCAGGTGTATCTCAGGTGTGCCCAGGTGTGTTTTTATCCCCCCCAGGTGTCCCCAGGTGTATCCCAGGTGTCCCCAGGTGTCCCCAGGTGTGTCCAGGTGTCCCCAAGTGTCCCCAGGTGTCCCCAGGTGTCCCCAGGTGTGTCCCAGGTGTGCTCAGGTGTGATTTTGGCACTCACCAGAACGCATAAGCCCCCAGGAAGGGCAGGTAGAACTGGCGTCGCTCCGGCACCGCGCTCAGGGTGGCGCCCCAGGTGTGGCTGTGACCCCCCCAGGTGTCCCCAGGTGTCCCCAGGTGTGTCCAGGTGTGATTTTGGCACTCACCAGAACGCATAAGCCCCCAGGAAGGGCAGGTAGAACTGGCGTCTCTCCGGCACCGCGCTCAGGGTGGCGCCCACGGCGGCGCAGAACCAAACGAAGGCTCCGAACTGCAGCGCGATCAGCCCGTACCCCGCCGGGGACTCGTAGGTGTACAGCACCTGCCCGGGGTCGAAAAACTGCCCAGAAACGAGCCAAAATCAGCGGGGAAAAGGTGCCAAAAATGGGCAAAATATCCCCAAAATCAGCGGGGAAAAGGTGCCAAAAATGGGCAAAATAGACCCAAAATCAGCGGGGAAACGGTGCCAAAAATGGACAAAATCACCCCAAAATCAGCGGGGAAACGGTGCCAAAAATGGGCAAAATAGACCCAAAATCAGCAGGGAAACGGTGCCAAAAATGGCCAAAAATGGGTCAAACTATTCCTGAAAAATAACCCAAAATATCCCCAAAATCAGAGGGGAAACGGTGCCAAAACTGCCCAAAATATCCCCAAAATCAGAGGGGAAACGGTGCCAAAAATGGGCAAAATCAGCCCAAAATCAGCGGGGAAACGATGCCAAAAATGGACAAAAATGGGTCAAAATATTCCTGAAAAATAACCCAAAATATCCCCAAAATCAGAGGGGAAACGGTGCCAAAAATGGGCAAAATGACCCAAAATATTCCTGAAATATGGTGAGAAATGGCCCCAAAATAACCCCAAAATCAGCCCAAAATAACCCAAAAAAGCCCAAAATCAGCGGGGAAACGGTGCCAAAAATGGGCAAAAATGGGTCAAACTATTCCTGAAAAATAACCCAAAATATCCCCAAAATCAGAGGGGAAAAGGTGCCAAAAATGGGCAAAATCAGCCCAAAATCAGAGGGGAAACGGTGCCAAAAATGGGCAAAATCACCCCAAAATCAGCGGGGAAACGGTGCCAAAAATGGCCAAAATGTCCCCAAAATCAGAGGGGAAACGGTGCCAAAAATGGACAAAATAGACCCAAAATCAGCGGGGAAACGGTGCCAAAAATGGGCAAAATAGACCCAAAATATTCCTGAAATATGGAGAGAAATGGCCCCAAAATAACCCCAAAATCAGCCCAAAATAACCCAAAATCACCCCAAAATCAGAGGGGAAACGGTGCCAAAAATGGGCAAAATAGACCCAAAATATTCCTGAAATATGGAGAGAAATGGCCCCAAAATAACCCCAAAATCAGCCCAAAATAACCCAAAAAAGCCCAAAATCAGCGGGGAAACGGTGCCAAAAATGGGCAAAAATGGGTCAAACTATTCCTGAAAAATAACCCAAAATATCCCCAAAATCAGCGGGGAAACGGTGCCAAAAATGGACAAAAATGACCCAAAATCAGGGGGGAAACGGTGCCAAAAATGGACAAAATAGACCCAAAATATTCCTGAAATAGGGAGAGAAATGGCCCCAAAATATTCCCAAAATTGCCCCAAAATATTCCCAAAAAATTCCCAAAAAATCCAAAAAAATTCCCCAAAAATTCCCAAAATTCCCACAAAATAACCCAAAAATATTCCCAAAATATTCCCAAAATTATCCCCAAAAATTCCCAAAAAATTCCCACAAAATAACCCAAAAATATTCCCAAAAATATCCAAAAAAATCCCCAAAATTATCCCCAAAAATTCCCAAAAAATTTCCCAAAAATTCCCAAAAAATTCCCAAAAATATTCCCAAAATATTCCCAAAATTCCCTCCGGGGATCCAGGTGAATTTTGGGATAAATTTGGGAATTTTGGGGGGAAAATTTGGGAAT